GTGAAATGGAGCTAATTATGCCTACTCACAGGTTATTATATGTCAGGTGCCCTGCATCTGGCTTCCCATGCCTGGTTAGTGGTATTCAGGCTGTGGGTTGTCACCAATGGGGCAAGGTGGTATTTTTATTGTTATTGCTCTTATTCTTTTTAACAGCCACAAACAGAGTGGGGCATAGTTTTAAGGCCTAAAAGCCATCATAATGACTTGGCTAGAAAAACTAGGCTTGAAACAAATTTCCTATGAACATCTCATCCTAAAAGAAGAAATCATTCTAAGTAGAGTGCAGTATTTAGACTCAAACAGGTAAGAGTTCAAAAAATGGAAGAAATAAATATAGGGAGGCTTTAGAGCCAAAGAAAACATTTCAGCCACAAAGTGGTATTCTTGACTAGATCCCAGTACTTGAATTAAGTTCGTACTGGGAATTGGGATGCATTCAGTGGCCTAGGTTTGAACTTGAAATCCCTCCTTTCCTAGATGTGTGACCTTGGGAAAAGTTGCCACTGTGGCTCTTACCTTTTCCATGTTCCAGTGCATCCCTTCCATGCTTAGTGGAACTGAATTGGCTGAATTTGACCAAATATCAGCATATCTTTTAAGAGAAACTGAACCCAACTGCAGCTCAGCTCCGAGCCATGCAGAAGAACAGCAGTCATCTGCCTGAGCAGGAAGACAAGGCTTGGTCTTTAGTTTTAATAACAAAAGATCAACCCCACCACTGGAGTTTAGCACCTGAATGCAAAGTCATATTCTTTGATAAACAGCACAACTACAAATCAGCAACTTAGTCAAGCTCAATGTTGAATTGCTCAATGCTCATTTCCCATAGAAAAGCCTGGTGGGAACAAATGCTACTCAAGAAGAACCATTCATGACACACAAGCACCTGGCTGGTCATGTGACTAGAAAGCTAAACACCTACAATCCTCACTTTAGTTACCACAGAAATACTGTCACCTAGTGACATTATGCTCCTAGCTTCTTAATCCACTTTTGATAACAAGTTCACCAAATCAAATACATTTTCTGCAACTTTTACTAAATCCCTTATGGCACTCACTTAGGTCCCACTTGATAAATTCTGCTGAAGTTAGTGCTAGCATAAAGTTTGTTTTTCTTGATGAATGAGTGCCATTTAATTTATTAAGCAAATGAGAACTAGGAAACTTTGTATATTTCCTTTTTAGCCTGGGCTGTTAAGTTTAGAGTGAAGTTTACACCCCATCCCAGTAATTATCATTATTCTGGGGTTGGTTTCTTTTTTGCATTTTCTTAAAACACAACTTTCTTCCTATCCCTTCCTTTTGTGATTATTAGAGCTGTTATAGCCATCTTGCTCAGATGGGCAGACAGGGGCTGTCTGAAATTAGAGTTTACATGAAGGAAACCAAACTATAGAATGGAATGAGAGAAAATCGGATCATTAACATCTTTTGATCCCCTGGATCAAGCTGTGCCTGAAGCAATACCCTGTTTTTCTCCAGCTGAGTGAGCCAATAAATTTCCTTTTGGCTTTAGCCATTTTGAATTAGATTTTCATTCACTTGGAAGATTTAACTAGCAAAGAAAACAATTTTAAGATTATCTGACAAGTACTGTTATTATAATTCATTTTCTTAAAAAGAAACTGGGTACAACTTTATGAATGAACCTAAGAAAGTGAAATTTTTAGACATCATCTTTATGTCATGTCAAATTTATAATAAAAGTAGGTTAAAACTTTCTTTCAAAGGAATTAACATTTAAAAAAAAAGAGGGAAAAAGTTTTTTAACTACCATTTTTATTGACAGTTCTCCATAAAAGTGGAAAAGAAGAGCTTAGTAAAGAATCTTTAGACACAAAAGCAAGAAAAGGAGGAGCATTGCACCATCTACAAGAAAACTAATTTCTGTGAGAAATACACACAATGTTCTAGTGCAAACCTGGAACATACCTGCTAGAGCAAACAGGGATGAGAATTAAAACTTGGAGCCTCCTGCAAGAAGATAAATCACAAATAACTTCATTCACTTTGCTTCCTTTCATTTTCATTCAGATGACCTTAATCCCCCTGGCTCAACTGGCTGCAATAGATGTGATGACTGCAAGAGAATTACTCCCACTTTGATGCTGGCAGATGGCCCTCCCCAGTGCTTGCCCACAGAGACAGATTTTCACAATGTACAAGCCCAGAGGTGCATGTAGAGATCTACTGAAACTACCAGACCAAGTTTCTTAAACTGCTTGTATTAGGCCAAGATTTCACAGATTTTCACAATAAACAATTTTCTCAAGTTGATACAAAGTTTATGTGCAGAGAAGATGAGGGGTCAGAAGTTCACCCTCAGTTTCTCTCAGAAGCAAGGGATTAGTAGAGGTAATTTATAAGCCCTTAATTCATGTCATGTCCCTGAAACTACAGGTCAAATTTTCTCTAGAAAAGTTCCTTTCAACTTTAGATCTTGCCAAGGTACCAGATGACACCAATGTTTACCCAAAGGTGTTTAAGTTAAAACACAAAGATGTCTTAAGTTCAACCCACCAGGTTTAAGGGTCAGTTGTATTTGATAGTCAACCCTAAAGCTTGTTAAATATGGGTTTCTAATATTCCTTCCAAATTCGCAGGGATGTAATGTATAAAATTGAAGGAGATCATAGCCTCTGTCACAAGCTACACACACAGCTGAAAAGATGACCCTCTACCATCTGCCTCCATAACTCAATTTTTACATGCTGAGTATAGATGCTAATGGGACCCAGAATTCTCCACTGACAAAACAGAAGGCAGTGGTTTGTAAATTAATACACATCCAAAAAACAATAGAAAAACTCCAGGCTCAATTCCCTGACAAGTATATTGATCATCATTTGTCCTAAAAATATGTTCTATAAATCAACATATTGGCATCCATAAAAGAAAAACTCCAGACTCAATTTACTGATAATATATGGATGTGAAACCTGCCCTAAAAGTCATGTTTCATGCCTTCCCATATAGATAGCCTAAATGAGTATATTTATTTTTTTGTTTTCTAATAAAACATATGATACTTGACACAGTCATAAGTAAACAGATTTTTTACTTCTAAAAGTCATCAAAAGCTATTAATTGTCTTTGAATAGAGACCTTTACATGAAATATGCCCACTGCTCTGGAAGATATGTCATTCATGGTTTCTCCAAAGATTCCTGGAATTCACTTACTCTTTTTTTTAAAAGAAAGGATAGTTTAGAAATAGATTTTATATATATCCTCTTTTCCATTAGTAACTGCCAGAGACTGGGGTGGTAGGCGTGGAGGTGGGTGGAAGAAAGACTGACTCTGCAAAAAAGTAAAACAAAATAAAATATTCTATCTTTTTTCTTTTCTTAAGAAAGAAAGGAAGAAAGAAAAGAAAGAAAGAACCCTAACCAAGTTTCAAGTTCGGTTCCAGTATAAAGTAAGGAAGAAATCTGTTATGAAACACTCCCCCACAAGTGTAGAATGATAAGTTTCTTTTCAAAACAAGTTCAAATTACATAAATTCAAAACGAATTGATGAGGCAAGATTAGCAAGGATTATTCAGTCTCATTGGCATTTGGTTCCTTTGACGATATTTTTCAAACCAATTTGCTGCAAATGCATTATGAGTGCCTCAACTCATATAACCTCATTTGGGGACACAGAGTTTTAAAAGCAAATGCTCCACATTATTTCCACAAAAATTCACTGAATGGGGGCGCCTGGGTGGCTCAGTCCATTGAGCAGCTGCCTTCGGCTTGGGTCATGATCGCAGGGTCCTGGGATCGAGTCCCACATCGGGCTCCCTGCTCAGCGGGGAGCCTGCTTCTCCCTCTCCCTGCCACTCCCCCTGCTTGTGCTCTCTCTCTCTCTCTCTGTCAAGTAACTAAATAAAATCTTTAAAAGAAAAAAAAAATTCACTGAATGAAGACATTGTCATTGACAAAAAAAAAAAAAAAATCCCAAGTCAGAATTGTACATGCCAAATATTTAATGGCTGGTGTTATTTTCTTTATCCCCAGGATTTAGGAATTTTTTGGCAGACAGTTCAAAATCATGTGCTATAAAAAAGACAGAAAAATCATTATCCAATCCTATCAGCAAGCTACAGAATTCTCTTGTAGGCTAATGGTGATCAGCAAACTCTCAAGTGTTAAACTCTGGAATACCAGATTGCAAACATCATTGTGATAATTTTTTTTTTCTTCATGAAACAATTTAAATCAAGAATTATTTACTCTTAGATAAACAGTATTTGCTTCCTTCTGGTAAACACTGAAAGTAAAAAAACCTTTATTTACATTTCTAGATACTGACAAAGCAATTGGGTTTCATTTAGATCTATTTCTTAATCATACATCATGGCTTAGCCATCATCATTTATTTCATTGTTCTTTAAATGCCCTAAATCTATACAGGAGGATCTTTGGTTCTTTTAAATAACATATCTCTATGCTTCCACAGCTAACTAAGATACCTTATGAGTATTTAATAAGTTATTATTGCTTCCAAACTTGGTTAGGAGAAAATACTGGAGTCCTGGGAAAGTATTATTCTTTGAAAAGTACATTTTACTGATAGCATAATTTTAATTATTTAACGACTTCGTTGCATATAAGGCAACTTCTCTTTGCCAAGTCTTAGTTTTTTTAAAGTGTCTTTTCATCGTAATGTGAATGAAAAGGGGAAAAAAAATTATTCTAGCTTTAGAAATTTCCTTTTAAAGCACACACAAAACCTCCCCTAGGGTTGAAAGCATTGGCCATGCTCTGGAAATGAACCCAGCTCCTTTCAGCCAAGGGATACTTGAGCCCTTTATTCTTTTGCCCAGAATAGACATCCTAATTAAAGGGCCAATAAATTAAATGTACCCAAGAAGGCAACAAAATCCAGAAGGAAAGCACCCACCAGGGTGCCTAGAGAGAAACACAAGGTTCATTTCAAGTGTAGGCACCGTGGAGTTAGAACAAACTCCGGAGGCACAGCTGTTTTTGACAAATGTGAACAGCTCCTACCTTCATTTCAATGACAGTCTGGAGAGCCTTCGTCTTTGCTGGCTCCGGCTGAAGTTGGCTCCTTCGGTGCAATTCCTGGGGAGGAACACGATAGAAATAAGCCTGACGGTTCATCCTTCCGTTACACCATGACCTTTACACAGGTACCACACAGCCCACTGGGTGCAGGCTCGCTGTGCTCCGATATAAACAAGCTACAGGTGACTCTTCCCCCACCCTCCTTAGCGTCCCTCCTGCCTGGAGCCTGCGTTCCGGTGAAAAGCTCCTGGCACATGCGCTATTTCTGAAACTACCATCAATAATTAATGTCAACTGTGACAAAGCCAGCAAGTAATCATAGTCCAAATACTGTTCAACACTGGGGTTGTTGCCCAGCCATCAAATCATAATTTACTAAATTACATTGCTCTGTGCTCCCAGTACAAACACAGCATGGAAACCGAGGAAAGAAAATGACTAACGTGGTTGCAGATCCACTGCACGCTTGGCATTTTGCTACTGAGGTAGGTTTGAAATGAGCAATTTAAGACCTTTTCAGTACCACTGTGTCACTTTTTGGAGTGAATTGATGTGATGAAACCCTGTTAATATCTTGCTTCCTAATTTACAGTTTCGGTCCTTATTCAAAATCACATCTGTGTGTGATATGTTTATGCACTCGTGATGCCAAGAAATTAAAATTGGCATTAATATCAACAGTGTTAGCAAGGAGACAAAAATGGTTAAAGCCAGATGCAGACCCAAGAACTTCTGGAATGTGACAAATATAACTTTAGGTAAAACATAATTACAATTTTAAGCTGGAAGGCTCACTTTTTGCATGCCTCTTCTCCAAAGAACAGTTCTGTCAAGACTTTGAAAGTATCCTTGGTAGAAGAAGAGATAAAGATAAGATTTTTTTTTGTTTATGCTTTGATTTTCTTAATAATAATTAGCAACAGTTTTATGAAAGTAGCCAATTAGGGGAGTAAACGAAAGTGCTCGCATACGTCCATGCTGCTGATACAAGTCACCTATGGAATAATTCTATAAGACTTATTTGCTTGCAGAAAAATCATTTAAATTCAACATGAAGTTGTTCTAGCCCTTTACATTCCACTGGGCCACAAACATTAAAAACAAAAAACAAACGAACAAACAAAAAAACCACCTAGGGCTTTGGGGAAGAGAACCAACATGACTTCTAGCTCTTTTCAAGTAAAGGTATTAAAATTAACTCTCATTCCACCACTACCATCTACTACCATCACCATTTCATAAAGACAGAACATATTAATGCAAATATTGCCAGAAAAAGAGTCTCACAGTAAAAGATAATTCTTCTCAGGATAATAAAACAAACAATCTTTTGCCCATATTCTATTAACATTGTTCTTATTTGCCAGCGGCCCAAGAAGACTTGGTCATGGACCACTGTCTAGGGACCAGCACTGGAGAATCACCACCACGCCTCCGGAATATAGCATATTTTCTTCCCAAAGTCATCACCGGCACAAACCAGCAAACCCGTGCAAAACTACTTCTCAATCTCCAATTTAAGAATTTGAATTAGTGCTTCCTAATTATTCAAAGTTGTCTCACATCACTTAAAATATTTTTTCCCTAACATATCCTTGGAAGAGACAGAGTCAATTATTTCTGAACCCATTTTATGAACTTCTGTCCTTTTGGAGATCTTCTGTCCTTTTGGAGGTCCTGGACTAAAATAATCCAGTAACACTGGTCATTTTTAGGCTCCATGGAAATGGCAGAGATTTTCTGAAGGAATGACCTTAAAAGCAGTTTCCCTTTATTGAGCATCTACAATGTCCCTGACACAACATGTCTCTTTCAAGCCTCAACACTACCCTATGAAGAATCTAACCTGTGTGGTGAGTCCAGTGGGCTACTGGTAAACATTTAACAACCAGCACCCACCATGGCCAACTTCAAGCTACCTAAGTGGTATCACTGAATGCAGAGTTGGGAAGAAAGGCCCAATAGCACCCCATTGCATAGTATTTCTATTATATGGACAAAATAAATGTAATAACCTCAAAAACATCAACAGTAAAATGTAACCAAAAAAATTAGTAAATCATGAGTTTTAATACAATGTCTTTAATCATGAGTTTGTATATTTAATTTGTAACATTAGCTGTTAGAACAAGTTTCCAATTTTTACTTTCATCGACCAGTACAATCCAGTTCCAGCACACCACCGGGTCAATCACATAAGGACTTCAACCTCCAAAGAAAGCTACTTAGCCTTCAACATACTTCCAAGATTGTTGGAGTTCACTGGACCAATAAAATTTCATAGATAAAAAAATGGAAAGTAAGTAACTTGTCAGAGTTGCTCCACGGGAGGTGGTAGAAGAAATACATTTCACATGTCACCAATTCTGATACCACGTGGCATCAAAAGCATCTTAATGAAAAAAGCTGAGAATCGAATTCATGGTAATTTCATACCATAGCCAAACCCAGTTCCAGAATAATAATTTGAGGAGAGAGGTTAAGCTTCCATAAAACAAGCAAAAATAATTAGGAAGCAACTAAGTAACACAAATAGAAAATAAAAACCATAGGGTAAAGACATGCGCTATTATAATTTCTGCCAAGCACAAAAACATTTTTAAGGGCAAACATGCAATAACAAAGCTAAACTTGTAGCAATAGTTTTGCAAAAATGGAAAGAGAGTTTTCTTGGCTATAATTATACAAGTTCCATTATAGTATAAACCAGCTCAAAATCCAGATTGGGCCCTTAGACTCTGTGTCACTCTTTAAAAAGTAAAATAAAATAAAATCTCCAATTATCTGAAAATTGCAATCTTCCTATCTTAACTACACTATATTTCAATCAATCCTGACTTCACAGTTACTTAGGATCACCTTAATTCCTAAGGTGTCAGGTAAGTGAAGATCATAATCCACATATAGGTATCATGGACTGTCTGAAAGTTCCATCTCAGACACTTCATCCATTTCTGAGATATAGGATCCTTAAAATTCTCACTTTGATTGTGGCAGACAGGAGCAGTTGCCTGACCAACATTTGTGCTCCTCTTCTTTAATGTAGAGTGTTGTTAGGAGGCACCACCACCACTGCCCTTGTATCAGGATGGTGCCATGTGACTTTTATCTGGCCAGTGGGATATGGGCAGAAATGAAGAACTCAACTTTCATAAAAACTTCGTACTCTGTCCTCAATTCTCCCTTTTTTCCTGTCTGCTGGCTTAAAGTAAAGAACTCCAAGATCTAAGAAGATGGTAGAATTCCAAGATAAAAGGAGCCCAGGTTCCTGAAATGCCATATAAAAAGGCCACTGAACACCCACAGGGGATGGCGGGGTGTGTGTGAAAAAGAAACCTCTGTTAAGTTCGCCTCTGCACCTTTAGACTTTCTCTGTAAAGATCCCAGTCTTCTCTGCCTTAACTACTGCAATGACTATAAGGAAAAATAACACCTAATCAGCCCTGTGTTGTTTGTAGCTTTTGAATCACAAAATTGATTTTAACGTGTGAGTGCCTGCCGAATTTCTCTAAATAGACAGTAAGATGTGTTGGTTGCTGGGTGTTCCAACGATGCCTAACTATCTGAAAGATGCACCCGTTATGCACTAATCTTAAACAACAGAAGAATTTCCCTAGAAGCATCTGGTATAGATATGAGGGAGTACAAGATTTAACTTACTCTGGTTAATTTTTAAAGGACAGTATTAAATCAAGTACAGTGGATTTATGCTTTTCTGGGTCACTGATCTCTATAAGAATTAGACGGAAAGTGTGGATTCTCTCCAGAAATGAGTACAAAAGCACACACAAACAAAATGGTGTGCACCATTTCAGCTGGTTCACAGGACCCGGGACAGCACCTGGGAGGTTCATCTTTGAACCAGACTGTAGGCTAAAAAACATTAAGAAGAAAGAGCAATGTATGGGGAGTCAGGAGCCCACAGTCCCAGCCTAAGACCTTGGGCACACCTCTTCCCCACTCTGAGTTACAGAATGAGGAGCTTTATGATTGGGTTTCTTTGAACATCCAGATTTTTAATAAGCAGCTGACTCTGAATTGCTGATCACTGGCTGGTATTTCTAGTTACACCAATTCTCATTTTTTAAAAACAGGCTAAAAATGAAAGAAGAAAATTGGCAGCATCAAAAACTTTAATATCTCACTGTGATACTCTCACCTGGGATTTATATTTTCTTATAATTTCAAGTATAGGTTGGCCTTAGCTAGTTTAAAACTGCCAGTTCCTCCAGGTGACCAATATGGAAATATACCAAGAACCCAGAATTTTAAGCATGAAATCTCAAGTGGTTCATTGGGATGACATTTCTGGGAAGTTAATGAGTATCTAGAGTCTAGTGAATTAATGTGGATGGACACTAGCTTCTTAGATGAGCCTGGCAGAATAATGTTTGCATACACCATTTACTCTCTTCAGTAGGAAACACACACATACACACACACACACACACAACCCTTAAAACTTTACTTTCTATCCAAAAGTAATTCACTATTTTTATCTGACTTTCCCCTTTACTGTTCTGGTAATCTACTATGGAACAAACCACCCCAAATTTAGTGGTATGAGACCACCACCACTTAATTATGTTCATGAATTCTAGATCAGGAATATAAAGGATAGACTGGGGAAGGCTTGTTTCTAAAGCATGATGTCAGGGACTAGAACAGTTGGGACTGGTGGATCCACTTCCAAGAAGGCTTCTTCACTCATGTATCTGGTGTGCTGGACTGACGAAGACTTCAAGGCTGGGTTTCACTAGAATATCACCTATATATGGTGACACCTGTATACGGTCTCTCCATGTGGCTTGGGCTTCTTCACAGCATGGCAGCCTCAGGATGTCAACCTTGTATATTCAGGTGTAAAGACTCCAAGAGCAAGCACTCCAGCAAATAAGCCAAAGACTGCATAGCCCTTTATTACCTAACCTCAGAAGTCGCATAGCATAACCTCTGCCATGCTCTGTTGGTTGAAGCAGTTACAGGCCTGCTCAGATTCCTGGGAGGAGTGCCAAAGAATCTGAAGCCATATTTTTAAATTACCACTTTTAAGGAAC